GATCTGCCTCGCCCGGGAAGAGCGCAATGATGGTGCCAACTTGGGCCAGTGAAGCAGCGTCCTCCACAACTAGACTGAAGAACAAAAGGACGGCAACTTGTCTGTTCCCCTTCCCCCAATTCCCCAGCACTGTTCCCACCATCCCGTAATTCCCCAATAAAAATCTTTAAAAAAAAGAAACCATAATGTATTTGTTAGAATTCACCAGGTAAGAATAGACAGAAACTCCTAGGGGATATGTGTTTGTGTGTGTGGTATATATATGTTTATGTATAATATACGCGTGTTTCTATTGAATGTTTAATCTGTTCCAGGTACTGTTATATGTGTATCACAAATATTAATTTATTTAAATCCTTTTTGAGATAGATTCTATTATCTCCACTTTATAGATAAAGAAACTAAGCCACAAAGATAAGGTTTAGTTAACTTGCCCAAGGTCAGCAGCTAGTAAATGGCAGAGTCTGGATTTGAACTCAAGCAGTATATAATAACATGGACATGGTTTGAAATTCAAATGATATATAGTGAACATTTGCCATTATATTCCTGTCTTCATCTCTCAGATCCAGTCCTCAGTAGCAACCCGTTTCTTATATATCCTTTTAAAACTATACCATGCTTTTATAAGCATTTGTGTATATAGTATTTAAAAACACAGAAGTTAACATGCCACACGTAATATTCTGCATCCTTCTTCTTTTCCACGTATTTATATATATGTAAGATGTCATTTATCATCAGTATATAAGAGCTGCATCATTCCTGGCAAGGACCATTAACAACAGACATGGTAAACTGAAGACATTTCTAATAAAAGCAGGAACAAGTCAAGGAAAATTATGACCTTTAGTATACTATAATTTGACACAGTTTTGGACATTTTTTTAGCTAATATAACAATATAAATAAGTAACTGAATAAAATAGAATTTAAAAAGTATCTTATTTATAGATGCGACTATATTGAATTATTGAATACCTGTAAATATCTGTTTGAAAATCATTGGCATTCACATTTTCCCAAGATTCTCAGGGTCAGAGTTATCCAGTCATTCTTTGCTTTAAGAATGAAGTTATTTTTTCAAAATTTTAGTAGGTTGTACATGTGGGCTATTTTCTGGTAATGGAGTAAATATTGAACATATATTAGGAGGACATTAGTAACATTTGTGTTTAGTCTCATGAAACTTAAGAGTCATGTTGACTATTATATAGTTAAGTAAAACATCTTTTCTGAAATTGGCTCCATTCTAAAATAGTGGTTAAGTTACCATAATCATTGTAAGACCTAACATAACAACTTCAGAATCCGTGGTTAAGGATCCTGTAGAGCAGCATTTATTTGGAGAAACACTAGAATATATTAACATTTTGAAGAGTGAAAAACAGGATCATAAGAAATGTCACAAAGGCAAAGACCTTTTTACTCCCTTTTTGTGTAATCTGCTTTTCATTTTTATAGCATTTAGTAGGCTCATTAAATTTTTATTAAAGTATTTCAAGATCTACTTCAGCTTTTACAATTATTATACTCCTCTAAATGTTAAATAGGGTTTTGCTGTAAGCCCCAATTTTTCAGTCGTTTAAGTTATAATTGAGCTTCTTGTATGTTTTAAAAGGGTTACTACCTCAAGCAGGTAAATATTGCATACATTGAGTATTGAAATATTGTATGTAATTTGAGGAAGCATTGTAAATTATGTGTGCAGATAGGTATAAAATTAGACAATCTGGCAATGAGATCTTAATATAGTATAAACTTGGTAAGTGAAATTAATCAAGAAGTCCTTTTTTCCTCCTATTCTTGCCCTAAAATTTATATTAATAGTAAGTACTTTGTAATTAGTATTGTACAATGTGACACTAATTAATTTATTAATGATTTTTAAAAAACTTTAACTTGTGTTTTGTTTGAATTTCAGGTAATAATCCTTCCCAATACTTTGTATTTTGTTTAGTATGCCACTTTTGGAAGTGGTCACTGTCAATATCTTGTTATGGTTTGATGGCCTTGGAGATTTAAAACCAAGTAAAAGTGTAAGCAGCCTTTCTTACTTAGTTATGAGTTTTATTCCAAATAGGAAAAGTCGAAAGTAGATTTACCATAGAATGAGTTATATAAAAGACACCTTAATGGTTAACTTAGTAAAAACAGACTTACCAATACCATTTATGGGTTTGTGACGTAAAATTCCATGAAGCAGTTCTCCTTAAAGGTAGTGGATTTTTATAATCTATTAGATGTTCCTTGTAAACTTGATTAATGTGAACATATCTACTTTTTTTAAAAAATGAGTGAATTCCTAAAGAAAGTAGACAGAAATTTTATATTGTTTATAGTTAAATTGTTTAATATCAATCATTTAGAATTCTTTCACTGTATTCATATTTACTGTCCCAGCGATCTTTCTCTTTAAAAGTAAAAAAGTATTTATTGTCCCCTTCAGACAAAATGTCTGATTTTTAAAAAATAATCACAAAGGTCTATTCAATTGAGCTTCACTTTAGTTGTTTTGTTTTGTTTTGTTTTCCCAGCATAATTACTTTAAGAATATGACACTTTCTTTAGTGATGATTTTGTTGCAAAGGTCTGAAATTTTCACTTGAAATTACTTTCATAACCATTTGGAGGCACATAAGAAAATCAGTTTAATTACTTCATAAACACACTTAGTGTTTTGTCTAGAAACAGTTTGCAGCTTGTCATTCACTTATTCTGTAAACTTTGACTCTTTATGACATTTGGACCTTTCCAAGAAGCAAATTCAATTTTGGAAAGTGGAGATTTTACTTTATGACCATCCAAGAGGATATGTCAGAGAGAGAAAGAGTCAAGAACATTTTGAACAATGCCAGTGTCATTGCTCTACAGCATTCCTAAATGTAGGGAGGTGGGGCAAAAACCCAGTACCATCTTGTCCTGTGGGCAGGGACCAGAGGCTGTCTCCATGCCTGAGCCTGGCACTTGGTGAATGAACAATCAGTGATGGTTCTTAGAGAGAAGCCCCCACCCCCTGGTCCCTCAATCCGGGACACATTCCCCAGGAGGGAATTGGCCACTTCCCACCCCCCACTCCCCTGCTCTTCCCTCTCCCTCACCCTGCCAAACAAACAAACAAAAAAACATTAGGATATAAAAGTTTTGGTATGATTGGTTAATTATAGTAATACTATACCTTTGCTACATTAGATTCCTGTGCTCTATCTAGCTCCTGTTATAAATAGGCACTTTAAAGGATTCAGTTGCAAAGTCAGCATTTTTCTAGGGTTTTTTTCGTGTCTTGATTTGTGAAATGTAGGATAGGATTATTGCTTTGTCATGCATCTAAATTTAGTAGATGACTATTAGATAATAATTACCTTTTTTTCTGTTTGAAAGAAAGTATATACCCACAAAAACTTCCATTTTGTTTAGGTTTTCCTCTTGTACAATAGAATATACATTCAGGTTGAATAAATACTCATTTTTATTTGTATTTAATTATTATTGATTAAATGTATTTCCTTAATATCGTTTTCAAATGATTGAATTGGCTGTGGGCATTTGTTTTTGCCCTTTTGCTGATCAAATTATTGGTATTCCCTATAGTTCCTTACAAAAATAGGGAATCAGTGTTTTATTTGGATTGAACAGTGTCTTGTCTGAATGATAGAGTTATTGGCAGGAAGTCATCCAAAAGGACCAATTTACATGGTATAATTGGCAGAGAGCATGAATTTAAATTAAACAGGCCTAAGTTTTTATCACATTCTTGCTAGTTAACTAATTGTGTGACCTTGGGCAAGTTATTTAACTTTTCACCTTCAGTTGCCTCATCTGAAAAATGGAGACAATACCTACTTCCAAGTTTATAAATAGTTTTAAAGAACCATGCACAATAGCATGTTATATATTTAATAATGAATGTTCATTTCCTTTCCTTTCCTGTGTTTATCTTCATGTATTGGTAATTTGAGACAAAGTTAATAAAGTGAAACAACTTTTTAAGCAGTTACCCACCCTAAACATTACTTTAAGTTTTCCTATAGGATTAGTCTGCCATGTACTTTAGTAAATACTGTATTCTCTCCCATGCCAGGAGGAGTATTTGAGAAAGGAAGGAATGATTTAAACATTGTAAATAGCCAACTGAATTAGTGTCTTAAGGACATACTTTTGATAACTTGTACTTAATATTTCCATAAAAGTGGTTTTCATTTATCTTCAATCACAGGTACAGGAACCTTAAAGATAGATTTTGTTGGAGAGCTGAATGACAAAATGAAAGGTTTCTATAGAAGTAAATATACTACCCCTTCTGGAGAGGTACGCTATGCTGCTGTCACACAGTTTGAGGTATGGTATTCTTTTCTGAAGTATTGATCTTAAATTAGATATTCTGACAAAGGTGTATTCTCTTATTTGTGTGATTATTTGAGGCCAGACGTCTTTGGCCATAATTATATTCATGATTTTAGATCTTTATTTGATATTCATCCCAATTATCCTCATGATAGAAGGGAGGGAATTAGAAGTGTGGGTTAGGAAAGAATATATTTCTATATATCTATATAGATATATTAGATATAGATCTCTATATAGGTATATATGTCTGTGTGTGTGTGTGTTTATACAAAACTGTTACTATTAATTTAGTAGGAAAAGCCACAGTTGTCAAATACTAAGAAGATAATTTTAATTAAGAAAAGTACATAATATAAAAGTAATTCAGCAATTGAAATTTTGGGGTGTGTGTGTGTGTGTGTGTGTGTGTGTGTGTGTTCTGGTCTCTACTCAGAAACATCAGTTAATAGAAGGTTTAGTTTTGGTATCCATCCCTCAGATATACCTTTGATTGCTTTCATCACTTTGTCCTTTGAATATTTTAGAAACTTTTAAATCTTGTTATTCGTCTCATTCATTTAATTTCCTCTAGTATAAATTCATTTCTGTACTGCTGTTCCTAATTTAAGTTTTTCTGTGCTACTGTTTTTGTTCTTATACTCTAATTACTTTTCAAATGTCTTATTTATTCTTTGATATAATTTATACTTTAAATTTTTTTATTTTTTTTTAAAGATTTTTATTGGGTAATTGGGGGATGGGAACAGCACTGGGGAATTGGGGGATGGGAACAGCACTGGGGAATTGGGGGAAAGGAGAACAGACAAGTTGCTGTCCTTTTGTTCTTCAGTCTAGTTGTGGAGGACGTTGCTTCACTGGCCTAATTTGGCACCATCATTGCGCTCTTCCCGGGCGAGGCAGATCAGTCACCGGCTTCTGGACCGCCACTCACTGCAGCAGCTGGCCGCTCACGCTGGCTGCAGGCTACCTACAGTAGCCCATGGCAACCCACTGCCACAGGGGCTGCAGCCTATGCCGTCACCGGCGACTCACAGCAGCCCAGCTCCAGGTTGAGCTGTTGTTCAGCATCTTAGCTGTAGAGGGCAGTGTCACTGGCCCTCATATATGGGATCCAAACCGGGACCCTCTGGCATCCCAAGCCAGCTCTTAACCAACGCGCCACTTGTCTGGCCCTATACTTTAATTTTTTGAAAGTGCAATCAGCCATCTAACATTTTTCCTCAGGGAAATTCTTTTTCGGAAGTATGTGCTGCTTCTACCTCTGTATATTTTGTTACTTCTTTTCATAATAGAATCTTGTTGTTGGTTCTATTTTTTTATTTTGTTCTGTTTTACTTAAATTTTTCTTTTGTAACTAATTTTCTACTGAACCACTAAATTTTATTTTTCTTTAATAAGTTTGCTGATTTTTTATTTTTTAAAGAAAGTGAGGTCTCTTTAAGTAGGTCAAGTTGTGACAGTTTTATGTGTAGTATGTAGAAATGCCGTTAAATGAATGACCTGCATAGATATGATAGAGCATCTGTCTTTATTCCCATCACTGCCATTCCAGATAAAGAACAAAGTACATCAAAGATTCTGAAAATATTTTTATTTTTGAAATAAAAGCCAGAGAGACAACCTATCATATTTTTTCAGTTCTGAATCCTTACAGTGTATCGTGTTATGTTAACATTGATGGAGCCATTACAGTTTTTAAATGTGTTATTAAAAACCAAAATACAATTATAAATTATACTATAAATTGTTAAGATCTGTAGCAGACCTGGTTCCTGGGTAATTGTTGATATGGCAATGATAGTAAGCCTTGTGTTTTCTTTGTAGTCAGTGCCTAGCTTGTTGCCTGGCACTGTAGAAAGTAAATATTTGAACAAGTGAATGAATTGTATAAATAAACAAACAAAAAAATAAAGGGCAGTTACTTCATGAAATAGTCTGTTAGGGTAATTCGGTGATATTTATATTTCATATCCTTTTTTTTAGGCTACTGATGCTCGGAGGGCTTTTCCTTGCTGGGATGAGCCTGCCATCAAAGCAACTTTTGATATCTCATTGGTTGTTCCTAAAGACAGAGTAGCTTTATCAAACATGGTATGTATGTGTTCATAAGTATATTTAAATTTTGAATAAGCTTTTAGCATATTTAGTTTGTTGATTAAATGAGATAGCATGAAACCACCTAACAGTGCTTGAAACATAATAGGAACACAAATGTTAGTTTTCTTTATTTCCAGTAAGTCCTCTTTTTCTTAATTGCTTTATTTGGAGAGTTTCTCAGTTCATGGAAGAAATTCCTTATAAACATAACAAGGAAATATTAGCAATATTATCAATTTCTTTTAATTTGGAAACCTAAATAAATAATGAGTTTAATAAATATTACCTGAAAGGAAAAAAATGCGACTTTCTTATGAAATGCCAGAAGATATAGCCACACAGTGAAGTATATTTAGGTTTTTGGCTGATTATATTTTGAGAATATGCTCTCTTCACAGATGTCATTGATCTCATTCATAAATAGAGTAAGCATTTCGCTACTTGAAGTGTATTGTCTAGGACTGCTTCAAGACACAGAGTAGTCTGTAGCCTAGAATATAAATCTGGGGAACTTGGAAAAGCCTACTGCCCCTGAAAATAACTGGCTTTTGTCTTCTTTATTGGTGAAGAGAATTCCATTGATAGAATGCCATTCTCTTCTCAAATATTCTTAGACAGGAAGCTAATATATTAAACTGAAATATGCATTTACAATTTATTATGAATTTATCAGGTCTGTTCTTGAATAAGTCTTCCTTGGAAGAAAGAACAGAGAGATCTTGAGGAAACTGAGAGCCTGAATAGGAAAAAGAGGGAGAACCCCAAAGGGAAATTTAGGGACTCCAAAAGCAAAGTGGAAACTTCTTCACAAATTTGCTTAGAGTCAGCGTTGGTACAGTGAATACTCTAAATCTAGAAATCTGAACCCTTTGAAATGTAGATTCCACAATTACATTTTATTTTTATTAATAATTGTTGTCTCCTATCCTTATTTCACTTGGTAAGTATTGAGGTCTGCCTTAAAATATCCCAGTGCCTGGCATATAATAGGTATTCAGGAAAAGTTTTCTTTCACTCACAAATGCTTGGTAGTTTTAACACATTAGTCCCAAACTTCAGCATCAATGTGCTTTATCAGATCACTTTCCTTCATAATAGGAAAGATCTTGACAGCATAAAAGCACTGGATGAACTGGGATAGAGAAGGAAGCAGTGCTGGAAAGGGCGAGGGAGAGGCAACAATGCCTACAAGTTTTGGCCAGTGTTTGCTCTAAAGTATTTAATGTAAATCTGTTTAAATTTTTCCTGGTTTTTTTTTTTAAGAATGTACTTGACCGGAAACCATCTCCTGATGATGAAAATGTAGTGGAAGTGAAGTTTGCCCGCACACCTGTCATGTCTACGTACCTGGTGGCATTTGTTGTGGGTGAATATGACTTTGTAGAAACAAGGTCTAAAGACGGTGTGTGTGTCCGTGTTTACACCCCTGTTGGCAAAGCAGAGCAAGGAAAATTTGCGTTAGAGGTAAATGTACTTGAAGAGGATTGTTCCAACAGTCCATAACTCCAGGTTGGGGAATTTACATTTCTGATCAATTATTAGTACAGTTACTTATAATTTAATCTGAAATTTGTGCTCCTTTGATTTTATTTTTGATAGAATTTTAGAACTACCAACCTTGGTGTTACATTAACATTTTACAAGATAATGATTAGGAGAATATTAGAGTGGAATTTATTCATCCAGAGAGTGGGTGGGAAAATATGTAATTATATTTTTTCATACCAAGTTATAACTGGATTAACATTTGTCCAGCATATACAAAGCTTGGGGCCAAGGCAGGCTTTGGAGGTAGAGCTCCCCTGGGTCGGTTTTTAGTAACTTGATACTTTGGCTTGCAACCGGATTCCTTTGTGGATTTCTATATGAGTTACAATAAAATATTTATCAGATGGTTCTTTTGTTTATACTTTTATAGGTTGCTGCTAAAACCCTGCCTTTTTATAAGGACTACTTCAATGTTCCTTATCCTCTACCTAAAATTGATCTCATTGCTATTGCAGACTTTGCAGCTGGTAAAGTAAATTTCATTTTATTGCTGAATTGTAATAACTCTTTTGAATTTTGTGATTTTGAGGAAGAAGTATGTATATATATCAATAAATGTTTATATTTATTTTATGAAGGTGCCATGGAGAACTGGGGCCTTGTTACTTATAGGTATGTTAATGATGCATTACCCTGCCTTATCTTTTCAATCACTGATATCCTAAGAGCTTCACTCCTAATCACAGTTGAGTATCTTCTGCTTTATGATCTGCCATGAATTTTCTTACCTCCCCTCACTTCTGTGCACATTTTAAGAATGCAGATGAACACCCTCTGGTGCTACTATCTGAGGGTGTAGGATTTTAAAGTGAGCATCTGGCACTAGTAACATTTTTAGATGTATTTTGGCTCAGTTTCTCATTTCGGTGCCTTCTCTTCCTCCCAGTAGTTTCATAGTTATTTATCTAGCTTGAAGAACTTTCCCTGATTTAATATTTTCTAGCCAAATTTTTACATGTCTGTCACCACAATATAAACATCTGGGTTGTATAATTTTTGAAGCAGGGTCTGTAAACAAGTTTTTGCTTTTTCCTTTCAATTGCCTCCTTCGATGAGCTAAGTTTTGGACAACCTGCTCAGTGTTCTTTTTGAGACTGTGGAATGCATCTTCCCTCCACTTGCCACTCCTCTTCTTTTAATGGAAGAACTGTCTTCTCTCTTTTTCTAGCACAATAATCCCTAATACCTTAGACAAAGTTTTTCTAAAATTTCAGGCAGCTGTCCTATCAACAAACTGATAATTAACCTAGTGTCCCAGCTTTCTCTTCTGTTGTGTGAATTCTGCTGACATAGTCTTTAATCTTCCTGGAACTTTTTCTATCCTGTATACTCTAAAGAAATGTTTTCTTGACATCTCTAAAGCCTGACTTGACCATCTTATTTACTGTTTGAATCTCCCTCCCCGACTTGTGCATGCCTGCTTTTATTGCAATACTTCTATTGTTTAATTTAAATTTTTTTTTAACACAGGGAGACTGCATTGCTCATTGATCCAAAAAATTCCTGTTCGTCATCACGCCAGTGGGTTGCTCTAGTTGTGGGACATGAACTTGCCCATCAATGGTTTGGAAATCTTGTTACTATGGTATTTAATATTTTTAAGTGCTCAAATATATTTATCTTCATCCTGCTGCACATTATTTTGGCTACATAGTATTTCAGGTTTGCCTAGATCATTATGTAAAAAATAATTGAATAGGAAAACTTTATTTTAAAAGATCCACATTGAAAAGTGTTTATCAGAATCTCTGTGTTGATCAAGAGCATGTGGACAATCTTTATTCAACAAAAAATACTTCCTAACTGTTCTAGAATTTTGCCTGCTAATGGGGAAAGTCACGATACTAATTTGGGTGAGGGAAAGAGATTCCTCTTAGGTAGAGCGATTCCGTGCAGTGAGATTCCAAACTAACTGTAGTTTCCTGAGTCATATTTATTATGTAGTTTACTAGCTGAAAAGTAACCTGCTAAGTAACACACTGACCTTCGATTAGTTTGAAATGTTTTTAGGGGCCAGTTGTTTCATTTTCTAAAATGTTAAGTTGAAATCTGATAGAAGTGAAAGCAAAGGAACTGCAGAATAACTAAAGTATATTAAAATTTCCAACTGTCCCATTGACATCCTTGTTTATTATAATGTTTGCAGTGAATGATGGTTGTCCTCTAGTGTTGACCTTTCCCTCTTGCTCTAAATAAATACTATATCCCTGGCAGCCAATTATGTTTGAGCTTTGGGAGCACAGGGTTTTAATAGGTGAACTAGACATACCTCTACAAAGAAAGAACTGGAGATTCTGGAGCCAGCCAAATCCCCTGATGGCATTTTAGGCTGCCGCAGAGCAGAACCTGAGTTGGACGTTAGCTGAGTCCATATGTCACAGAAATAAGAAAGTAAGATATTTAGCAACTATGACATGTCAGAGAGTTTCTGAAGAAAGTCAGCCCTTGAAAGTGAACCCTTTCTTTTTGCTTTGGATGTTTAAAATTTTACTTAGGGGTAAAAAACATTTTTTTGAAATATAATTTAATGTGGAATTAAGTATGCTATTACCTGTATTCAAATATGTACAGTAACAGTCTTTTCCACTTAATGCAACAAGTTTGTTGCAGCTAAACAATTTTTTTTTGCTCAGCTTTCAGTAGACTTTATTTTGAAAGTACCAGTAATAAGCTTTAGAGGGGAAATGTGTGCATTACTATGTAGCTTTTAAACAATTTTTTATTGGATTTGAGTAACTATTCTAGTTATTAGATGCCAATTGTTTCATTAACTGAAATTTAAGGGCTTAGAGATAGGATGGAGAACAACTAGCCTTGTACCAGCTTATCTTAGTGGAGGCTACTAGTTAAAGAAATGCACAAAACACTTAGACAAATAGCGATTTGTCACTTAATTGGAAATATTTGATCTTTTCAGAATTTTAAAATGCCTTTATGTTTTTTACCATTGCATTAGTCCTTTAGCATTTATCTTGTATTCATATGTTGCTTTTTTTATATAAGAGATTTAATCAACTTTAATGAATATTAGAAATTGAAATCTCTTTCTAAAAAGCTGTGTTTTTTAAAAAATGTTGCTTTTTCTCTGTGAATATATTCTTTGTCCACTTCCCTATTAATTCTTATTAACAGGTGAGAATTTTTTATTCCATAGATGCTTTAACACCACTCATTACTGAACTACTTACTGCCATGACATTTCTGTTAATTTCACTTAATCCTTATATAAGCAGTACTGCTCTTCTATTTATCTAGAAAGTTTAACTCATCCATAAACAATGATTTTTCTCAGTCATTATGGAAATAGTTTCCAGTTTTTCTTGTTTGGTCCTGGCAGCTTTCTGTTTTTTTTTAAGAGAAATCTTTATTAAACTAAATGACAATATAGGAAATAATATAAGGGGGAAAAGCCTACATTATCCACTCTCTTCTTTTTCCCCACCCCTCCAACCTGCTTTGTACCTTCAGTAGTAAAAGTTACTTAGTAATATTTTGAAATGTCCGTCAGGCATCATGCTAATATCACTAGTTGGTCTTCCTTGAAATCCCTTTTAGGCATCTCTTTTGTTCAGAGATGTGACTTATTTACTAATTGTTTTGAACTGAATTTTAGTTATAGTGGAAGGGATGTGTGAGTTTTTCAAATTAGTGGAATACCAAGCGTTTCATTTTCTTTATGTATGTCTATCTTTTGTTTTTAGGAATGGTGGACTCATCTTTGGTTAAATGAAGGCTTTGCGTCCTGGATTGAATACCTGTGTGTAGACCACTGCTTCCCAGAGTATGATATCTGGACTCAGTTTGTTTCTGCTGATTATACGCGTGCCCAGGAGCTTGATGCATTAGATAACAGCCATCCTATTGAAGTGAGCCATAATTTCAAACATTTGCCCTCATTTTTAATGAAATAAGTAATTTGTTATAGAGCTACTTAGGACACTGAAAAGAAAGCTGCATGGGTGATTTCACTTGTTTTTATAGTTTTTTATATACAGTCTTGAAAATATAACAAGGCTGTTCTAATTATGGTTCTTCTAAAGGTAGGCAGTATAAAAATTTGATCTTTGGAGAGGCAAGTGCTGTGTACCCATAAGCATTCACTAAATACATTTTTTATTGACTAGTATGGGAGAATCATAACTGTTGGGTAATATGCATAGGGGAACATTATGATTCTATTTGTTTCTAAGAAAATTCTAAACATTTTTTTTATTGTCGTCTGTTTTTGTATATATTTTAATTCTCTTGACTTAGCTTATTCTTGTCTCAGCTAGTTTATATGTATAAATTTTGCCTCCAAAGAACTAGACTTATAGTCTACTTTGACATATTTAACCAGAGTCCTTTATTATTTGTAAGCCATTATAACGAATACAAGAGAGCAAATGTTTTCATTTCTCCCTTCCCCACCCCTACTCCTTATCACCACCAATAAACAGATCTATAATGACTTGCCTCCCAGCAAAGCAGAGCCAAGATTGGACCCTAAGAGATGATGGAGGTCAGGTTATATATTCCACTTTATCGTGTTAGTTACTACATTCTTTAAGGATCGTCATTATACATTATGAGCGAGCTAAAGGCAGAAAAGTATCTTTTTAGTTAGAAGGGTTTCCCTAGAAAGTTTTTTATGTAATTCAGTGTTACAGGCTGTCTGCTTCCTGTCATAACCCTGAATCACACTGTCTGCCAGGTCAGTGTGGGCCACCCTTCTGAAGTTGACGAGATATTTGATGCTATATCATATAGCAAAGGTGCATCTGTCATCCGAATGCTACATGACTACATTGGGGATAAGGTAAAAAAACAGTTTCAAAAGTCTTCCATTCTTTTATGGTGAAATCATATAGTTTTGCATGGAAAAATGTCAGATTTTATTTAGATTACATTCCTAAGTAATTTTTTTTCTAGAATTTATTCTAGTAGGATATTACCCTGCTCTGGCTTACCTTTATTTCTTTTTATATTGACTCTTGTGATCCCTTGATGAACGATGTACAAGTGTTTGGGGAGTGGGTGGGAGGCTGCTATAAAACTTAAAAGTAAAACGCAAAGAGTATGCATTCTTTTTTTTTTTTTTTTTTTAAGATTTTATTGGGGAATCGGGGAAGGGGAACAGACAAGTTGCTGTCCTTTTGTTCTTCAGTCTAGTTGTGGAGGACATCGCTTCACTGGCCCATGTTGGTATTGTGATCATTGCGCTCTTCCCGGGTGAGGCAGATGGGTCGCCGGCCACTGGATGGCCACTCATGGCGGCTCTTGGCAGCTCTCGGGGCTGCCAGCCACTCATGTCGGCTGCCAGTCACTCACAGTAGCATGGCAGCCCACTGTAGCAGAGGCTACTGCCTACGCTGTCACTGGCGACTCACAGCAGCCCAGCTCCAGGTCGAGCTGTTGTTCATCATCTTAGCTGTAGAGGGCAGTGTCACTGTCCCTCATGTGGGATCCGAACCAGGGCCCTCCTGTTCAGAGCTGGCATCCCAAGCCAACTCTTAACCAGTGCGCCACTCGGCCGGCCCAAGAGCATGCATTCTTAAATAAAAACAGTAGACATTAGGGGGATATATGTTTTTCAGTAAATCTGACACTCAAGTGATTTGAATAAATTAGCTTTTGAATATTAATATGCAAATATACTGTAAATTCTGAGGTCTGACTCTCCTGAATTTTCAAAATTGTGTTTTCTCAGGACTTTAAGAAAGGCATGAACATGTATTTAACCAAGTTCCAGAAAAAGAATGCTGCCACAGGTAATCTTTAATAGCTTGAGATAAAAATGGAAAATGTTGGCACTCTTATCAATAGTGGGACATTTAATATTTTTCTAACTGCTTAATTTTCCATGTGATGGATAGGAAATAAAGTTGACTTATTTGATGCCATTTGTTAAGTCAGGGCCCGTTATCCTTTTGGTCATCCTCCAGTAGTCTGCTTTCCATAGCTCAGTGTTTTGCCACTTAAAAGTCTAACGAGATCTGTTTACCTTACCAGAGGTTGTTTATTTGGTGATGGTTTTATTGCCCTAAATTAATCATTGGCCATTAAAATAGCTGCAAAGTAACCATTTTTAGATGTGATCTTGGAACTACAGAATTTCAGTGAAGTAAAGTCTTAAGATTTTTAGTGTATGATGGTCTGTAATTTATTGAATGTCAGAGTCAAAAGGATGAATAAAGGCATAAGAATTGATTGGATATGAAAAAGAGCCAGAGTCATAGTTTTGAGTTCTTCAGTGAACAAAAATAGTTTAAAAAACAAGAAGATTTATGTAATGTCATTAGTGTCTAATAGAATGACAAAAGTTCAGAGAGTCCTGGCCACCCGGGCTGTTCCTAAGGTTTGTGACCTGTGATTTAAAAATACAGTATCTTCTCTGTTCAAGACATGATGTAACTTTGACCACCCGCCACCCCTGTAAATTTCCATTTTAGTCTATAAAATAGAGAGGCATTCTGTTCCTTAAAGAAGGGCTACGAAAAAGTGTACTCTTACAAGTTTAATGACTCTTTGGCATGCATATACAGGCATACCTTGTTCTATTGCACTTCGCAGATATTGCTTTTTTTTTTTTTTTTTTTTTTTACAAATTGAAGGTTTATGGCAACCCTGCATCAAGCAAGTCTCACCGCCATTTTTCAAACAGGCTCAGATGATGGTTAGTATTTTTTGGCAATAAAGTATTTTTAAACTAAGATATATACATTTTTTTAGGCACAATGCTATTTTACACTTAATAGATTATAGTATAAACATAACTTCTATATGCACTGGGAAACCAAAAATTATTGAGATATTCGCTTTATTGCAGTATTCTGGAACAAAACCCGCAATATCTCTGAGGTATGCCTGTATATAATATATGAGGAAAGAACCTTGTGTTTCTTAAATTGTGATGTACATACAGCCACCTGGGGCTTGTTAAAATGTTCCTATTTCAGTAGGTCTGGGGTGAGGCCTGAGAGTCTGCATTTCCAATAAGCTCTCAGATCAAACCAGTGCCACTAATTCATAGGTCACACTTTGAATAGCAGGGCCTACCATGTACCTTTTTTGGTTTGTTTTTGTGATTTATAAAAGGTGGTTGGCAGTTCAAATACATTTCAGTAATCCATGGTTTTTATCCTCTTGCAGAGGGTCTAGTGCCCTCTTCCTGTCCTCACTGCGTTTCCCTTAATTCCTGCCTTGGTGATCTCTCCACTGAATTCTGCTGTTGCCTTTAACTCACTACTTGCCTTGCGTGGTGCTCTTCATTTCAAACACTGAGGCTAGCTAGCTAGGGTTATCTTTCTGAAGTGAAGATCTGATTGCATCACCCTACTGATTAAAAACACTTGGGATACCACACATTCCCTTCCCAATAAAGTCTGTACTTCTTTGTAAGCCATACAGAGTCATCAACACTTCAACCCTGCCCACTCATTGCTCGCTACTCTCATACATGTGCCCTCTACCTTCAGCGTATTGAACATATTGCTGTTTTTTAATATTTTCTGTCTTTTGTTACACTTTCCTCTTTGTACATAGACCATTTATTCTGTCTACCTGGAATGAGCCTTGTTCCCCTAATGAACCACTCCTCTTCAAGATGCAGACCAAAAGGCAACTCTTGTGAAAGCTTTGTTTTCTTTGGATTTTTCTTTTAAGTGCTTTTCCTGTGTTCATGCCCCTATTATAGTATTCATCACATTGTATCACTGTTTTGCTCACTCTACCACCACTGCTCTTTGACCCATATGAGTTTTATTTCAACCTCATCAGCACTGAGTATTTTTTAACTTCTGTTAATTGAATGAGTATAATGGTTTTATGTTCGTGAATGACTAGTAGTGATCTTGAATACGTTTCCATTTGTTTGTTTCTATTTCTTCATGTTTAAACTCACCTGTTTGTCTTTTGTTTATTATAATTGGAACAATTAATAACATCTTAGTATATAAGACCAGTTTTTGTAATAGAGTTAACTTACTGGGATGTAAGGAGAATGTTAATTTGGCCCACTGTTTGTTTCCTGAACCTGAAAGAACCAAAGAGTTGGTCAGCAATGCAGTGTCAAGAGTTATATAAAATTTCTGGGTTTTTTAGCAAGATAAAAGTGTAAACATTTAGATTTTCATTGTTTGTGTTTATCTCCTAGAGGATCTCTGGGAAAGTTTGGAAAGTGCTAGTGGTAAACCTATAGCAGCGGTGATGAATACCTGGACCAAACAAATGGGATTCCCCCTCATTTATGTGGAAGCAGAACAGGTAAACTTATAAAAAGTCCCTCAATTTGTCTGATATTATATTAAATGAAATTCAACCAGTGTTATCAAATTTGCTTTTCTGTACTTTAAGAATTCTAGGTAATATTTAAACTAGCCCTTGTACTCTCAAAATGCACCCAAATTTACATGGTACGTTACAGTGCTTGCAAGTTAACCTTCCAGAGCCACATTTTAACCTTAAACATGACTGTGTTTTATAATAAAACATACACATTGAAGGACCTCTCAGTTAGATTGACTACAAACAATTAAAAAGGCAATTTGGGGAATGCAATCAGTCATACTTGGTGGAAAAGGATATCTGTAAGTTCGTGACCATTCTGTTTCTTTCTAGTCCTCTTTCCTCATTTTGGACTAGGCTGTTATAAGAGATGTCTGATCAAACTTTACATTGACACTCTGTATAAATTGTCAAGTAGTTTTCATTTTATCTGACTATTTTAAGGATAATAACATACAAAGATGATTGTCCCTTTCACCTCTGGGGATTTCATTCTCCCAAAAACTATCAGCACCTCAAAACTATTAAACTATGTAATGATTACACAAAAAAGCTATTAGGCCATAATTTTTTCTTCAAGCACAGAGCTCACTTTTAAGTTAGAGTAGAAGACACTAATATTCCACTTCCTCCCAATATTATTGAAACTCAGTTAACTTTTCCATCAAACTACTTTCAAGGTTTTATTTTCTTTGTTTTGTTGTTTTTTTGTCTATAAGCACAGCAAATTCATCCTCCATTTTTGTTACAGTAAAAAGCCTATCTGTGACTCTTAATTCTTTTAAAAATAGGAGAGTGCTGTAACACCAAATATCTTGATTGTGATCTATTTCTCACTTTATAGTCCCTAAATTTAAATATTTTTGTTTTATTTCTGAATCAGTGTAAAAGTCACCTTTCAGCTTTTTCAAGGAAATCTATGTGATACATAACAAATCAGCAATGTAATATTTATTAGTAGTTTCTCTATAGCATCAAAGTGGCCATTGCTTTCTCAAATTTTTTGGTTTTTCAATTCTGTCTCTTATAGTCATTTTATCCATAAAAGTCATTGGCCCAGTTTTGATTTTGATTTAGGTGATCTTAAATTTGTAATACCTTATGTTATTTAAAATGTTCTGAGGTGTAGTAACAGGAGATAAATGAAAATGAAGGACTGCATTTTGTTGGAGTATTTTACAAAATAAGTACTTGCCTTTGTAGCTTCTGGCTTTTTAGTTTTTTTCCCCACTTTTTTTGTGTTTCATTACAAAGCTCATCCTTTTAAAACAAGACGTGTGCTGCTTTCATGTTTATCTATCATTCTAAAAATTTGAATTCTGAATATTGAGTCCACATGCTAATCTAATGTTGCCACTTTTTGGAAGTGAAAAAGACATAACCTTCCTCTATAAAGATTAAAATAACTTGCTGTGATATTACATATAGTTATGTATCCCTTTGAAACTTTAATCCTTTAAAGTTCTCATCTTTTCTGAGGGCCCACATTACACAAAACCTGGTCTTTTATTTAGACTATTGTTATTTTGAGGCCTAAATGAGAAATAGTGACTTTTCTCCCAGTGTATAGTATCTTCATCACCATAGCATTTTGTATACACAGGAGACATTGGGTTGTACTGGTTTCACCTTCTACTTTGTCACAGAAATTTTGCCCCCTCAAAAAAAGAAAACAAGCATTGATACTACTATAGCTTTTGTTTTGCTTCTTTAGGTAGAAGATGACAGATTACTGAAGTTGTCCCAAAGGAAGTTCTGTGCCAGTGGACCATATGTTGGTAAGCACATGGCTATAAGTGGGAACCGATCAATGAGTTTGGCTACCACACCAGTAGTGTTCCAACTAGGGAAATAATTATTCATTTTTAAATATTTTTAATAGAATTAAATAAAAACAAGGAAATAGTAATAGAATAAAAATAAAGTCCAGAAAATCAAAAAAAGAAGAGATTTATGAGATATTTGTAGTATTGTCATATTCTTAAATTTTTGAAATTCCATGTATGTATTATTGGAGGCTATAACAAATGAAGGATAGGAACACCCAAGAAGTGATGTTTCTAGCCTTAATCCCTAAAAGAAGGTTTGATACACATTTGTGTTGGTGACTAATTTTTTTTTTCTTTAATTCTTGGGCATAATAAAATAAATAAACAAAGCCCAATAATTATTTAAATGTGTTAGGTACCAGTCACTGTGCTAAGCACTATAACTGACCCTTATTTTATACTCTCACAACCCTATTAAGTAGGTAATATTATTTCCATTTTACAAATGAGGGAGCTAAGGCATAGCTAGGTTAGTTAAATTGTCCAACGTCAACTTGAGTTAATTCTCTAATGAGTTAAAGAGTAGAATTTCAAACAAAATAGTTGGATTCCATGAGTTTATACCCTTAACTACCACTCAACTGCTTTTTCAAATATTTCTACATGTCATTAGACTCTCTTACCCAGGAAATTAAAGATAGATTAAGCAGGGCCCGCCAAGTGGCTCAATTGGTTAAGAGCTCACTCAAGAGTTCAAGCTCTGAGCAACTGGCAGTTTAAATCCTGGCCCGAACTGAGCTGCCGCTGAACTGCTTACTGCAATGACTCAGCTAAAAAAAAAAAAAAAAAAAAAAAAAATTTATTTATATATATATATATATATATATATATATATATAAATTGAAAAATAAAAAAAGCATTTTTCTGCACCTTTTCAATTTCCTTTAAAATGACAAGTCTCAACAGGGGGAGGAGGTGTGTATCAGAATCATCAATGATGGTGATTTTTGTCTTATTAAATTGATTGATTTTCATACTCCCCCCACCAAAATATGATGCACTCTACTAAGGTTAAGAGGTATAGCCTTCCACCCTTAGCCTTCCTTAGCATTTAGAATTACTCTTTTAATAAATATGTCTCACAAGTCAGATGACAGGTTTATTATCCAGATAAATCCCTAAGTGTCACAATTGCTATTTTCTGTCTCATACCTGCAGTCTGAATTACAGGACTGATAGGTTTTACAGGTTTCTCTAATACTCTGTGACCAATATAAGCAGTATTAAAAGCTGAAATATCCCGTGTCAGGAGGAAATTTTAACTTGGAGTTTAGCCTGATAGCATAAAGCCATAGAACTTGTTAAAATAGTTCCGTTAATGTACTAGGCAATGACTCTCTTTTATTTGGCATCTTAATGAAAAGTCAGTTTTGCTCTCTGATACCTAAGACAGTGTATGTATCTGCCTTACAAAAGCTTTGGTTTTTAGATACGACTCCTCACTGATGGAACCCTGCAGCTCCCAGGGTGTATGCTGCCTATCAGAAACATTAAAACCAACCCTTCAGTGTTGCAGCAGCATATATACCTGTTAAGAGCTACGCCTTAGGATTTGATTTTTGGTTTTTTTTTAAGCTGAGCCATTTTGCCACCTTTTAGCAGCTCAGCAGGAGCTCAGCTCGGGCTGGGCATCGAACCGCCGTTGCTCACAGCTCAAACTCTTGAGTGAGCTCTTAACCAACTGAGCCACTCGGCCGGCCCCTTAGGATTTGTTTTTAAATGCTATGTGAGGGCTTTCACCTACTTGAAATTTCTTTTAAAACAATAAAATCATTGCTGTCTCTATTGCTCTGTCAAGGGAAAACAAGAATTGAATTAAAATCACTGTATTTGTGATTCTATAAGTGAGTAAACTGTTCTCTTTTTTTAGACTTGTGATTTTGTTAATAACTTATCTCTTCCTTTTGACTAATATTATTCAGGTTACCTGAAAGAGTTCATGTACCATTAAAAATGAGCTATTGGCTTAACAGTTAGACTCAAGCCAGTGCATAGGATACCAGTCCTCTCTCTCCACCTTACCTTCTATGTTTTCCAGTGAGAAATTATTTTTAAAGTTTTCTACTTGTTCCTCTCTTGCTTAAGGAGAAGATTGTCCCCAGTGGATGGTTCCTATCACAATCTCTACTAGTGAAGATCCCAACCATGCCAAACTGAAAATTTTAATGGACAAGCCAGAGATGAATGTGGTTTTGAAAAACGTTAAACCAGACCAGTGGGTAAAGGTGAGTCCCGAAATGGCATGGCCATTTTTATCTTGCCTAAATTGATTTATTTCTCTCACTTCCTTTAGGCACTTTAGGGATGGTTCTAAATTCTACTGCTTCAGTTTAGAATAGGACTTGGAAAGAAAAAAACATTTCTAAACTTTCCTGTGTGAAATTTAAGGCCAGCTTTCAAATAGTATTGTCTAGGTATTTGCCCTTATATCAATCAGGTAATCGAGTGGTAGATAAGCACATACAAAGGGATAGGATTAAAGAGAAAAAGAAATAGTAGACTGTGTAAAGTCACATGAACCAAAACATTTGTGGTCTTGCAACTTTAAAGTGTCCTGTTATTGTAATGACATGTTAACTTCAATGATGTGTTGTCATCGTATGTGTACAACTATAATCAAGTGAGATCAGACATATAATAATCATTTTGTGTCACTGAAATGTGAAATTCCTTTACCTGGTGTTTTAAAACCATTTTACAAAAGTAACAGTTGGTAAATATTGTTTTTCATTACACTGTTCTCTGTAACTTTCATAATAAAGTATCTACTACAAACTTTTGTCCCAATTATAGCTTCCTAATAGAAATTATACATTGGCTGGACTTCTGTGTGGCTGGACTTCTGTGCCTTTCTGAAAAGAGCCATTTCTCCCTCTGTTTTAATTTTCTAAATATACTCAGTGGAATACTATATTACCACTTGAAATTATAATCTGAAAGATTAAATAGCAATATGAACATTTTTTTATAAGTGAGAAAAAAGTTATGTACATTATGATTGTAATTAAGTAAATGTGTTATTCCCAAAGTAAAAGATAAAGGGAATCAATAAAATAATAGTTGTATTAGAATTGTGAGCTGATTTTTTTACTATTTATATGTAAATAGTAAAATATTTATATCTTAGACTATTGTTTTACCATTAAAATATTTTGTATGTAAATATTATCCCCAAAAAAATTTTTTTTTAAAGATTTTTATTGGGGAGTTGGGGGATGGGTACAGCGCTGAGGAATTGGGGGAAGGGGAACAGACACGTTGTTGTCCTTTTGTTCTTCAGTCTAGTTGTGGAGGACGTTGCTTCACTGGCCCAAGTTGGCACCATCATTGCGCTCTTCCTAGGCGAGGCATATCAGTTGCTGTCTTCTGGACGGCCACTCATGGCGGCTTGAGGGCCACTCACACTGGCTGCTGGCTACACATGGTAGCCCATGGCAACCCACAGCAGCCCAGCTCCAGGTTGAGCTGTTGTTCAGCATCTTAGCTGTAGAGGGCAGTGTCACTGGCCCTCATATGTGTGATCCTACCAGGGCCCTCTGGCGTCCCAAGCCAGCTCTTAACCAACGCGCTGCTCGGCCAGCCCTGAACTTTTTTTTAAGTCCATGTAATTCTTAAAATTTAGGACCTGACAGACGTTATTCTCTTGAGGCTCTGGGCTCAATAGATCAATGTTTGTAAAGGCTTAATCTTCCCCAGAGATTCCCCTGTCCAAATGTTTTTCTATATAGTGAATGTTTTCTGTACCTAAAACTGTCCACTGAGATTAGAAATAGAAACTTATCTACATTATTTCTTCCCTCTCTGCCATGTTCTTCCTATTGTCTCACTCACTTTGGTCCCCACCAAATTTCTGTTTTCTTTTGCCTCTGTATTTGCTCTGACAACTGACTTCTGATATCTTTATGTGTTGTTTCATTTTAATCCCTGTCTGTTGGCATATATGATCTTTGTTGTTTTTCATCCAGATATACTAAAATCAGAACTCCTTTCACACCTACAAAAACTTGACTTAAAAAATAAATGCAACTGTTTAAAAATACCTATTGGATATCTTTTCAGTTAAACCTAGGAACAGTTGGGTTTTATCGGACCCAGTACAGCTCCGCCATGCTGGAAAGTTTATTACCAGGCATTCGTGACCTTTCTCTGCCCCCTGTGGATCGACTTGGATTACAGAATGACCTCTTCTCCTTGGTGAGCCTCTCTAAAGTAATATGATGGATTTTGTTGATTAAAGGATTTTGCTCTTCCTGGAGTATCTTATCTAACTGAAACATAATTAGAAGAATACAGTTCTTCCTGAAGGTTGAATGCCTTTGGGATTAGAGCAAATGACTAATTATTAATAAACATGACAAGATTGAACCTATATGATTTACCAGAAACAAATCCCATTTCACTACTCCTAAGCCAGCTTTTTACAAGTGTACTTAAACTATCCTTTGTAAGGCAAAAATTCTTTTCAATAGAAAAAGATATGAGCCTTGAAGAAATTTCCCTACTAATGTGGGGTTTTTTTAATACTTAATTGATTCAGAGTGACTTATATTTTTCTAAAATAGTGGTTGTACTTTGCTGGGAAAGTCTAGAATTTTTAAACATTCCATTACTACTCAATTATAATAGCCCATTAGCTTTAGAATTATATTTATATTTGGCTTTGTTCCAAAAAAAGGTTTAAAGCAGCAATTAATACTCCAACATAGGTTAGATAATTTCTAGATGTCCTTGAGTGTGATAAAATTGTCAGATTCCTCCTAGTGTTCCTTTAAATTGGACTTGAAGTTTTCCCTCCCCTCTGCAGTAACTGGTTTTGGATTCCTCCTTTGTATAAACACAGATTAGCATTGATGCACAAAACCTCACATCTGCTGATCTCATTGCTGAGAGAGACCTGTCCCAGGAGAGTGGTGTGTTTGTGCAGTTGGCTGCTGTAACAGAAGTTCTTTTTCCTAGCTCTCTTAGCTAATTCTGAAAGGACTCTGAGTTTGTAGTGCCTTCCAGTATGCGTTCTTTTAGAAATGAGTAAAGGACAGGCTAAAGTTGACACAGTTTGCAGGTCCAATTTTGAAAGAGCCTCTGTCGAAAACCAAAGCCCTAACTATTTTTGCAGCTTTTCTGAAAGTATGAAAATTTTGAAAAGAAAAACAAAGCCAAGGCCCCTGAAACTGAATATAAATAGAAAATTAACTGATTTTTTTCTTTATTTTTTTTTCCCAAATTGGTGGAATTTTAGCATATTTTTTAAGTGGCTCTTTTATAAATAGCAAAAACATAAGTAAGGAGTGTTGTCATGATAGGATTTTTATTCTATAAAATATAGTGTCTAAGTTTACATAGTCTCATTTCCTTTAAAAAGGCAAAGAGATGACTAACTAGCAGTAGATAATGCCAGAAATTCATGCTTGTGTTTTTTGTTTTGTTTTTGTTTGAAGACTAGGTTAATTTATGTTTTTTCCTATCCCAGGCTCGAGCTGGAATCATTAGCACTGTAGAGGTTCTAAAAGTCATGGAGGCTTTTGTGAATGAGCCCAATTATACTGTATGGAGCGACCTGAGCTGTAACCTGGGGATTCTCTCAACTCTCTTGTCCCACACAGACTTCTATGAGGAAATCCAGGAGTTTGTGAAAGATGTCTTTTCACCTATAGGGGAGAGACTGGGCTGGGACCCCAAGCCTGGAGAAGGTAATGGATGTACTGAATGGGGAGAAAATTGATCAGAAATTGGCCGTTTGTCATTCATCTGTGGTTAACAATGTCAGTAGCATCATCTTGGTATCTTCTGGATGTTGCTATGTATTCAGCTAGTCAGAAATGAAGACTTACCTTAGGACTTTTAAGCCTATTGGTGAAGTTACATGGGTAACCAGCTTAAAAACACTGATGGTTATGTGTATTCATTGCTAAATATGGTTTGTGCACAAAGCAAATGGTAGAAATTAAAAGTCTTTTATGAGTTCCAAAGGCCCATTTATAGTCAAGAAAAGCTACAGAGAATTTTGGATTATTTTATTTATTATTACCATAATTACCAAGTACCTTATGTACAACTTATAAAGGTGCTAAGAGACACAGAGGCCAGTTTTCTGAATTAAGGAAGTTATTTGACCTTCGACATGTGTTCTTTCCTCTGTGAGAGAATGTTGAGAATGGCGACTTCAGGAGTTTAAATACAATTACTTTCTACCATCTGCTAATAAGTAAAGGTGGTGTTTCCTTCTGACCAGTCTTGTTCTGGGAGGCAAACACTATTCTGACTTCTTTTACCCTAGATTAATATTGTCTCTTCTAGAACTTTATGTAAATGGAATCTATCTATCTATTATCTATCTGTGTGTGTGTGTGTGTGTGTGTGTGTGTGTGTGTGTGTGTATTTTTTCCCCCCAGTTCTTATATCTGGCTTTTGTCAGATTTTTTTCAGTATGATATTCTTGAGATACATCCAGTTTGTTCGTTCACTTTTATTGCTGAGTAGTATTTCATTGTGTGACTATTCCACAACTTATTTGGCCACTGTACAATTGCAATCAGATTTGTGTGTGTTAATTTTTTTTTTTTTTGAGATAATTTTTTTAATATACCATAAAATGCAGCCTTTAAAGTATACAATTCAGTCTTTTTTTATTATGTTCACAAGGTTGCACAACTATCACCACCATCTAATTACAGAACAATTTCTTTACCCTCAAAAGAAACTCCATACCCATTGGCAGTCACTCCCCATTCCCTGGCAACTCTAGTCTTCGGCAACCACTAATATGCTTTCTGTTTCATGGATTTGCCTATTCTGGACATTGCATATAAATGGAATCATGCCCTATATGGCATTTTGTGTCTTGTTCCTTTCACTTAGCATGTTTTCAAGGTTCGTCCATGCTTCATCATGTATCAGTACTTCTTTTTATAGCCAAATAATATTCTACTGTATGGATATACAGTACATTTTGCTTGTTCATCAGTTGATGGATGATTGGATTATTTCCACTTTTTGACCTCTCAGTGCTGCTATGAACATTTGTATACAAGTTTTTGTGTGGACATATGCTTTCATTTCTCTTGGGTGTATATCTAAGAGTGGAATTGCTGGGTCATATGGTAACTCTATGTTTAACCTTTTGAAGAGTTGCCAGACTGTTTTTCAAAGTAGCTGCACCATTTTACATTCCCACCAGCAATGTATGAGGGTTCTTATTTTTCCAAGTCCTTGTCAACACTTGTTATTGTCTATCTTTTTTGTTCTAGCCCTCCTAGTGGGCGTGATGTACCTCATTGTGGTTTTGAATTGCCTTTCCCTAATGATCAATGATGATGAACATCTTTTTATGTGCTTATTAATAACCATTTGCATATATTTGGAGTAATAGATCCATCAGATTTTCATTTTAAAAATCTAAGACTTCAATTTCTTATGCACAGCATATTAGTTCTGCATGTGGCCTTTCTCTGAATCATGAATTAAAATTGCATGATCTAAGCCTGTTCTTTTCATACATAATCCTTAACAGTATAACTACGTAGATGGAGTAACCATTTAGTAAATTCAGACAGTTGGGATTTGTGAGTATAGACAAAATTAGCACATTTATTTGCTTTTCTAGTCTGGTTAGCACTTCATTTCACTCTTATGATTTGATATATTTAAATCAAATGTTCTCTCAAGTACTAAGGTAATTGATTCTTTTTGTTCTAGATTGTAGACATGGTATAACACATGCTATCCAGGTGGCATATGTGTAAAAATAGGCTTTTTAAATAGTTCTGTGTCTCTGTTCTCAATCAGGTCATCTAGATGCACTCCTGAGGGGCTTGGTTCTTGGCAAACTAGGAAAAGCAGGACATAAGGCAACGTTAGAAGAAGCCCGGCGTCGGTTTAAGGACCATGTGGAAGGGAAACAGATTCTCTCTGCTGATCTGAGGAGTCCTGTAGGTTCTCATAATGAATTACCTTGATTTCTAGATGACATCATCGTTCTGTGTAGTGTGGAATGTATTTAACAGTAATCAAAATGACCTAAGTACTGACCCACAAATCATATCTGACCCTATTTTAATATATGCCATTTAGGTGGTTTGTAGCCGGCTTCTCATTTGTTTAAAGTTTCTCAGCCTATCCCATGGTGCTGACTGGTGATTATCAGTGCACATTCCCCTGAGAAAGCTGGTGTGCGCTGCTGTTACTTAATACGTGCCATCCACCTTTCTGGTTGTTCATATGGGCTCTTAGCTCCTTGCCACAAATTCTATGTATCATCCACATGTGGCTATTTACAAATTTTTTTACTTGCTTTCTGTCTTAGCATTAGAAGAATATTTGGAACAAGATACATTTAATCAGATGCCCTCTTTTTTTGTTGCTATATTCTCTTGTAGGTCTATCTGACTGTTTTGAAGCATGGTGATGGCACTACCTTAGACATTATGCTAAAGGTAAGTAAATTTGGAAAGGGCTCCCATTTTCTGGTTTTGAACTTGGATTGACACAGATAGTGTGAGCTTTCAGTGGTGAAAAAAAGTCCTAGGAAAAGAAATATATGCAGATATGCATATTGAGACATCAATTATTAAGATATTATGGGAGAAATATATAATGTCTGTTCATGTATATCATCAATACAATGTAAAAAGTCATCTAATTTTTTCACTTCTTTTTTTACTCACAAGTTTATGCATCTTAAATCTGAATGAACACTGAAGTGTTCATTTTGATTAACAACTCAAGTTCTTAAAATTTTTACCTTCGATGTAAACTTACTTGGGGTTCTGCCCATTTTAAACAAAAGGTTTGTTTCTGTGCTTAGAAAAGAGATAGATGATCAGGTGTCTCAAGGGTTTGAGCTATGCCAGTGCCTCTTATGAATGGACAGGAAATTAATTCACCTGACTGCATAACCTTTGTAGTTTTCCCAGGGTAGTTGGCATATAATTAAATCCTGGCTTAGAAAAAATATAGGCAAAACTTTCCATATCCTTATAATGGCAGTGATCTGTTTGAAAGTCCTGATACTGCGGAACAAGTGCTGTCTCCAGTCCATGCATTTATCAGGCTAAGAGATAACTTGACTATATTGGTTGCATTTAGCAGTGGAGGGAGCTGGGTCTACTTATTACCATCATATAAAATGTGCAAAATGTGCCTAAATACTCAAATCATCTATCAGACCTATAAAAAGCCCATTCACTGAAAGATCCACACATAGGGGGATGAACAGGATAGGGATGGAATATTACTTCCACCTATAATCTATTAAGAATACTTTCTGATCCCAAATGGATCAGAAATGCAAATCTAATTTCTAGTATTTTAGTTTTAAATAAATCCTAGTTAAATGATTAGAATGTTCTGAGGGCCGGCCGAGTGGCTCAGTTGGTTAAGAGCGCGAGCTGCCCTAGCTGAGCTCCCACTGAGCTGCCAACTGGTGGCAGGATGGCGACTGGACTTGGAGCTGAGCTAGCTGCGCCCTCCACAACTAAGATTGAAGGACAGCAACTTGGCTGTTCCCCTTCCCCAATTCCCCAATTAAAAAATCTTAAAAAAAAAAAGACTTCTGAAAAATATAAACTCGATTTGTTTAAGAAACTACATCTCAAAATGTACTCCTTTAACTTTATCTTGTACAAGGGTAATTAAGGTATTTTCTTTCTAATAATGTAAAATTATACTTAGGGTTTACATTTCAACTAAATGACATAAGGTTCCTTCTCATTCTTAATATTCTGTGAACCTGTGCACTATAAATCATGTATTTCTTTGCATGTGAAATGAGATATTTTGTGGGTTTTGTCTGTTCCATAAAGGGACATGGGACAAAATAGAGGTTCTGAAAATATCATGACAGATGTCTTGACATTTTCATGTCATGGCATACTTTTAAGAATTTATACTAGTATGTACTGTATATTTAATAAGAGTTTGTATCTGTTTAACACAAGGGAGCTCACAATAATTCAGCTTTACTATGGAAAGAGCTCTTATGAAGACAGAATCAGAGTTCTTCTAAAAATCAATTGATGAGAGATGAGAAGGATTGTTTTCTGTTGGTAATTTAGGAATAATGAGGCAGGATAAAAATATATAACTTTAAAGTATATTTGAAATAGGGTGTCATGGTGCCATCTAGTGGACTGGTGTAACAGGTTCTCCTTGGGAAAAAAAAATGCTTCCTGAAAGCTAGAGTTCAGATCTTGAGAAATCAAGGTGAAAAGGACCTTAGAAATCATCTGTTCACCTCGCTCATTTTACAGATAGGGAAACTGAGATCCAGAGAGGTTAAGGACTTAGTCAAGATCACACAGCTAGTTAGAGGCAAAACTGGGACTAGAACCCAGTTCCCCTGACTTCCTCTGGATTTTACCACACTGCTACTCAAAAGAGTCCAAAGGAAAGGAATAGGAAACTGGGAGCAGTGTTAAATCGGGGGGGGGGGGGGGGGAAGGTCAATAGAGTCTATAAATGAAGTTGTCTTGGAGAGGTATCTCATACATTTGTAGTTCTAATTTTTAAAAATATATAATATTATCTTTCTGATTATGAAAAAAGATTTTGTATATCCACTTATAGAAGATTTAGAGACTAGAAAAATATAAAGAAGAAAATGAAACTTACGTATAATTTTAAAAGCACATATAGTATGATTTATTCTTGATTTGGTAATGTATATATAGTAATAATTAATTTTTTTCTTTATGCACCTCTATTTTCCTAATATTCTGCATTTAGCATGTGCTGCTTTTTGCAGTTTAAAAATGTACTGATGCATAATCCTACTGATCAGAGACCATTATTAATATTAACATCTTGATGTATTTTCAGATTTTTTTCCTCCATATTAAATTTTTAAAAATTTAGAACAATTTTGCTTTGTCTCTACTTCTTTCACTTAATCAAGAGCATGTTTATGTCACCAAACGTTCTTAAAATGTTACTTTCAATAATGCAACTTCTTATATATTTTTCACTATTATAAATTAATGACCTTCAGTGGTATTAGTAAAAATTAGTTTGTTTATGTAATGTAGAACATTAGTCAGACATCAATGATGTAAAGAATTTGGGCATGACAGGTTTACCCCTTAGATCTCAAACTGCTCAGAACTGATGACAAACTGACGAGACCTGCTTGTCAACCGAAGCTACCGGAGTGGACTGGGTGGGAGATTAGAAAAGAAAGACACAGAAACAAAAGCTGGGATTGGGAGGTCCACTGACCGCTGATGGCGGAGCAGTGGTCACGTTTATTTTTTGCAGAAAGTTTATATAGTAGCAAGGAGCTGCAGGGGGTCTGTTTATCGGGTTAGACATAGTAAGTTACATCCTGTTATGCACTTCTCAAAGTGCGCAAGCAGGTTACATTTTGTTATGCACTTTGCAGAAGCTCCTGCAGCTTCAACTATTCTTTTACCTTCTTGGATCAGTGGGGGTGGAACGTTCCACAGGCTGTGAGGACCCTGTCAGCTCATAGCCTGCTCCCCACAACAAACCATTCATAAAGTGAGCACTTACATTTAGTAACTTACTTAAATGGCATAGGAGAAATTTAGTGCCCGAACATTCTTGAAGAAGTATTCTGTTTTGTTACTGTCACAGTCTGCAATCTTAGCCAATGAGAATATAGAACAAACTTTCACCTTATTGGGGGGGAAGGTTATATAAGCATATGCATAACTTCCGGGGAAGACTTAATTATCTCTATCTTTATTTTTTCACTATAGCTTCACAAACAAGCAGATATGCAGGAAGAGAAAAACCGAATTGAAAGAGTCCTTGGGGCTACTCTTTCGCCTGAATTGATTCAAAAAGTCCTCACATTTGCACTTTCAGTAAGTTTCAGTGAAAACTGCTCTTAGAGGGAATTGTTACCCACTGATCTATGGCAAATGTCTGATTCAGTATCCTCTTGATCCTAGAGGAAGGAAGCTTCCTCTTTAGGCTAGGAAAGCTGGAATGAGCTTGTTTCTGACCTCTATCTCCCTCTAGTGGTGAGAATAAAAATACAGAGGGTGACCAAAAAAAAAGGTATACATTTTAAGAAAGGAAAAAACTGTATTAAAATTGTAATACTCAATATATACTGGTAACAAAAGATGAATACAAATCATGTGTATACATTTTTTGGCACCCCCGTAGTTAGGGAAGGAGATAAATTAGAAAGCCGACTTATCCCTGTGCCTACTTTCTGTCTCTTCCACTCTTGACCCTATAGGAGCCCCAGCAAGTATTCGCACAGCAGCTTGTTTGTGCCTGTCACAGTGCCTCATTCTCAGTTTGGCTGATCTTAGGTTAAACATCCTCCTCTTTTCTGGAAGCTTCTTTATTCCTAAAACAATGAGTACCTTTAATGCGATAACTTGGGTACCTCAACAACATTTGCCCTTTCTGGCACCGGAAGATGTTTTGTATACAGTAGACTTTTAGTTCTCTTTCTATTTTTAGGAAGAGGTACGTCCGCAGGACACTGTATCAGTAATTGGCGGAGTGGCTGGAGGCAGCAAGCATGGAAGGAAGGCTGCTTGGAAGTTTATAAAGGACAACTGGGAAGAACTTTACAATCGATACCAGGGAGGATTCTTAATATCCAGACTAATAAAGGTATGTGAAGATTTTTATTTTGAATAGCTTGCTTATCATGGATATTAATGAGAGATATCCATGATTTTACTAGACCCGTACTTGATCGTCTTTGCTCTTTAAAAGTTTCCTTAAACAGTTACTCGCTTTGTTAAAGGGCGTCTTTGTCACCCATCCTGCGCCCTCTAGAATAAACTGAAGTTGGGAACAAATAGAATGATTTGTTTTTAGGGTGAATTGAAGATTGTTCTTAGCCTCTGTTAGTTGCACTTACTATTTAAACCATTGTTTTTTCAGCTATCAGTTGAGGGATTTGCAGTTGATAAAATGGCTGGAGAGGTTAAGGTAAGGAAAGTCCTTTTTACTTTTTAATCTAGTAAGCAAAAACACACACTAACCAAACTATAATAGAGTGTTGCTATAATGTACTTTAGTGTCTCTAGTGTTTGCTTGGAGAAAGACAGCTTAGGGTGTATCTTTAATGCCTGAAGAATTTAGAGTTGGAATTATCTTTGAGAGTGTTGAAATATGGTTGAAAGAATGTGGAACTTGGAATCAGCTGACCTGGGTGTAAAGCTGTGCCCCACCCTCTGTTAGCTGTTAGACTTCAAACAAGTTTTTTAACCCCTATGAGCCTGTCTCCTCATCTGTAAAATGGGGTGATAAGATTGTTATTTAGACTAAGTAACATAGTGGACTGGAGCGGAGTAGGTCCTTGATGTTAGTTCTTTTTTCCTGTCTAATAACCTTCATAGGTCTGTTGTGTGCACAGTGAGACAAGATGGTAATGTAGAAACTCTATTCTTAGCCCTTAAAAAGTTAATAATCAGTTTAGTGGTCAAGTTCAGCATTTGGGGGACAAGTCTACACTGATTAGGAAAGTCTTCACTTTAAATTTTCCATTGCATTTAATTGTGAAGTATTTTTAAAGTATCACTTTCACTTTCACCTCCTGAAGGCAAGGGGGTTATCAGGTATGAATTCGTTGGTTCTGAGAGCTGTAATGTTGATTTACTCTATGAGCAGTTGTTAGGAATAAGATTTTAAGATTTCAGATCTTGAGAAAACAATGAAAGACTTGATCTCTGCAGTCATTTAGTTTACATTGTATATTGTGTAAACAATTTTATAAAGGTAATAAGTACTCGGAAGGGGAAAATACATATAATGGGTTTGGAGGGGAAGGCAGTGGCCAAGCTAAAGCTGGCTAGACTGCAGAGGGCCTTGTAGACTATATTGAAATTTTCCTAAGAATGGAAAGCCTTTGGATGGCTTATAAACAAAGGAATGACTTGATCTAATTTGTATTATCAAAATTTCAGCCTGGCTGCAGTACGGAGAATAGATTGAAATGGAATGGGGAAGAGATGTTGAGAAGCCTCCAAGTAAGAAGGATATAGTAGCTTGGAGGAGATGGAGTAGTGAAAGATATTCACGGGCTTGATTTTGTTAATCTTTAATTCAACAAATATTTGCTGAGTGGTTTCTCTGTGTTATGAACATGTGGGGGCGGGGGAGAAGGAAGAGTCAATGATAAACTCTCAAGTTTTTCGTATCTAAATAGTGGTACTGTTTGTTGAGATGGAAGGAGAGGAAGTTTGTACCTTACTCAAGCCCTAAAAATCCAACCTTGGTGAGGAGTCTTGGAGCAGGAGCCATTGTCATCTATGTAAATAAGGTTATTGATTCCTAAAAGGTCTAGACCAGGGGTTGGCAAACTGCAGCTCGCGAGCCACATGCGGCTCTTTGGGTATGTACATGTGGCTCTGAAGTAAAATTGAAAATGAAAATAAAACTATCATAGTTTCATTTTTAATATTACTTAAACTTTCCTTATTTGTGAAAATATATTTATGACTCTCAAATAATTTTTAAATTGTGAGGGACAGGGTTGGCTCTTCCAGGGGTCGGCAAACTTTTGAGACAGAAGATACCCAAAGAGCCGCATGTGGCTTGCGAGCCTCAGTTTGCTGACCCCTGGGCTAGACTTAATCTAATGAGTTAATTATTCTGTCTTTTACATCTGTTGACTACTGGTTCAAAGGAAAGACCCCATCTTTTTGCTGGTTGGTATTTAAGAGTTGCTTTGTTTTCTGTGAAACCAGGTATGCTTAATTAGAAAACGAATTCAATTTTGAATCAATAGGCATTATCATAAATTATAATCAAACCATAAATAGTTTTATTGTATGAAATACGTGAGTCAATGAAGTGTTAAATTATTACGGTACAGCAGCAATTTAAGCTTCTTGGTTTTATCATCCCTTAAAAATTAATCTTTAGTTGAAGCAACCAAAACATGTTGAGTCCTTAAGTACTCTGTGCTAAGTATAATGCTGACTGTTTATATGGCTTGTCTCTTTAATCTTCTGGAGTAAATATTATAGACAGGAAAACAGACTTAGAGCACTTAATTTACTCAGTCACAAGCTAGTATATGACCCAGCCTAGATTCGAGTCTCAAGCCTGACTCCAAAGCCTAGATTAACTATGAGTTAATGACAATGAGTCCAAAAGAAAGGCTGTAGGTTCTTTCTCTTTACTATTAACTTTTGATTAGGTTTTATGCATGTAATACTTGGGGGAGAATTTCTGTTAGCAGGCCCAAGGAGCTGCCTGTTTTCTTTTAGCCTGGGAGTGGCAGTAGTAAATTTTAATGCATGAAGCTTATGAATCCTTTACAGACCAGTGGGTGTTTTTTATGGCCTGTGCTACTAACTTCTTACTACTGCTAGTAATGAGCTTACATTCTGGGTTGTTTTATACCAGGCTTTCTTCGAGAGTCACCCAGCTCCTTCAGCTGAGCGGACCATCCAGCAGTGCTGTGAAAATATCCTGCTGAATGCTGCTTGGCTAAAGCGAGATGCTGAGAGCATCCAGCAGTACCTCCTTCAGCGAAAGGCCTCACCACCCACAGCATGAACCCTGAGCATGCCGCCACTGCGGTTCTGCTGCTTGGCTGCGGGGATAAGGTGGAGCGACCGAACAGCTGATTCATATGCCAAGAATTTGGAGTCTTCTTTCAAACCAGTGGGGGTTGGACAATGAATGTAGTTAACTGGTTCCTGCTCACACTCCAGAATTAAATTCTATTGAAAAAGGAAAATCAGCAATTCAGCAAAAAATAAAAAATAAAAATAAAAAATAAAATTGTAAATATGATAGTAATAAAATAGAGCATAACGAAACTGTGAAACTTCCTGAAGCCTTGTCAGTGGTTAAAAGTATTTAACACTCTCCTGTTAATGACAGATGTTCTGTTTTTATAACCTACCAAAAGGAAACTAGAGGCTTCTGGGTGAAGAGGATTTTTGTGAAAGTGGGTTCTGCAAGCAGCCTACAAGCCAAGGGTAGTGTCCATTGCTGGGAATGGTTAAACATGAAAGGCTGATAGCTGGTATAACATAGTCAGAGTCTGTGCATAATTCCAAGTGGGGTTTTTTTTTTTTTGGATTTTTTTTTTTGGCATGGGGACTGATTAGGAAGACATATTTTCCTGCATAACTCAATCTGAAACAAGGATTGTAGTTTCCCTCCTTGCCTTCCCTTCTGTGTGACCCCTTGGCCAAAAAAAAAAAAAGTTTAAAAAAAAACAACCTATCCTGGTCTGGGTTTTTTCCTCCCCTTAGTTCCACCCCCAGCACCCACCCCCGGTGTCCTTCTTAGAGATAAAGAAATAATAAGGAAACATCTTTTGTAGCCACATTAAATAAGAGAAACTGATATACATTATTTTTTTCTTTCTTTTTTAAGATGACTTTTACGAACCCTGAAACGCATATAGGTGAGACAATAGAAATGAAAAGGTTTTCAGCCGGGCCTTTCTAAAGGCGTTATTCTGCTGAAAATGGCCTTAGTTGTCTGATAGGCTAACTATCGAACCTCTTTATGACAGTTTCAACACTGGCTTCTGGTTCGTTTTGGACATGTTAGAAGTCAGTGCTAAACGCCGCAGAGCCTAAATATTAGTGGTAACTGGTTAAAAAAAAAAAAAAAAAGCAACGAGGATAATAACCTTGTGGTGTGCCACTCTTGGGATCAACAGTGGAACTATTTTGATTCTTAAATATCCAATCCAGTGAGTTTTAACTCTAACTCGCATTCCTTTCTCTGTCCCTACGGTTTCTCTTTTCTTTCTTTTTCCTTTTCCTTTTATTTTTCTTTTAAAAATATTTTTTTGTGTTATTAACAGGAATTCATATTTGGTGTGGCTTAATTGTATTTCAGAAGGTCATCAGATTGTGAGACTGCTTCCTTGAAACATTTTTGTGCTATTGTTTTAAAAAATAATAATTAAAAAACAGTTGGCGTTAATAAAAATGTCAATGTGAAATCTATGTCCTGATTTCTTTTATCTCTTTGATAAGAAACTAAAAAGTCTCCTATCATTCAGTAGGATTATAAGAAATTTTACTAACATACGGTTTTTTGAGCCTAAGGAAATCCCGTTCCTGAATTCCTAATGAATAGTACCCAAACAAAAAAATCCTAAGATGCCTTCTAAATTAGCCTGGATTCTCAAAAAATCTCTTAGTGCTCCTTAGAGTCAGCATTCAGGAGTTGAGAACAATTCCCATTCATTGAGGCTTCCTTGTACAGGTGCAGTGCTCAGGGCTGTCCTGTAGGCTGGATGTCTAGGCATGTGCTAAAGGCACCAGCAAAAAGCAGGGCCACAAAAAGACCAAGAATTCTGCTTCAATGAAAGAGCTCACAGAAATTTACAATCAGAAACTCTGGGAAGAAATTATTTTTGTTTCAGCATACATGCAAGTTTTGTGTATAACAGTTTAGTAGTTTGAATTGTGTTGGGGGAGAGGAATAGCTTCCATTTTCCCTTCATAACCACTCCGTCCTGTCCTGTGCCCCAGGAGGTGCTGACCCACGTGGCGAAATTAATCGGCTCCTTTGCCCTCTCACTTCAGGTTGTGTTGATCCAATTAGTAACACCCTCCGAAGATCAAAAGGCAAAAGAAAAAGATGGTCAAGGGATTTCTCCTGGCTTCTGGTTCCTTCTCTTTGCCTCTTCAAATCTAAGGATAGAGAGGATGACACCTTTACTCGCTCTGGATTACTCCATCATTCCTTGCTGGCTTCCCTGAACTCTGCCCATGTCTTTGTAAATATTCCCTTTATTAAACCTTCCTCAAGCTATCCAGTTTGAGTGTGTTCTCTGTTTTCTACTAATATCTTGACTGATTTGAGCACCATAATCCTGATCTTTAAAGATCTTAATCTAGGTTTTTCTTTGTATCGGATGTTTTTAATTTATTGTCTTCCATAGCTCCCTATCATAGGTAACATACTCATTTTATAGATGAGAAACCAGGCTCAGGAAAATTAGGTAAAGCAGTAATACTACAAATTGACATTCAGAACCAGTGGTTAACCTGAGCGTGACAATCTCCGAAACCTGTGTTCTTCCAGGTAATTGTCATGTTTCCACAATTAGAAGATCATACAATCAGACTGGACCCAGGCAATGGCTTTAAAGATATTTAATGATTTTCCTTTTCCCTAATATTTCTTGGTCTTAAGTTTGTAGTGAATATCAGAAGGTTGGGAAGAAAAATGAAATGTGTTGATACTTCCTACAGAGAATTTTATATTATTTTTTATTAGTGGGGAGCAGTAAACCCTTTTGGGAACAGTGGGCAGTGATGGATGAATTCTCAACTTGAAATTTCTAAGGGTGGGTTTCAGGGAGCAAGGAACCCCTTGAAATTACTTGTAAAGGATGTATTTCTCTGTAGTACGCAATTTGAGGGTATGAGGAGTTCTGGGACCAAACAGATCCTAGAATTTTATCAGAAAGACTTGGAACCACATCTATAGGGTTAGTGATTTTTTTTTTTCTCAGCAAGTCAGAAAACAAACAAAAAGCTTTTAGTAATAAAGTGCTGAATTTATACTTACAGACAGCATCATTTTTGACTGAATAACAACTTACATGATGAGAATTGAATCTCCTCTTACTTAGATACTAGTTTTAGGATCTCAGAGTTGGGTTTTTATAAGACCATCTTTTGTAACAATGCAAAATACCCACCCAAGATGGGCCATGCCTTCTTGTACCAACCCTGGTGTATGCAAAGTGGTCAAGGTGTTTGGTTTCGAAATCAAGAGTAAGAGACAGGAGAATCTGATGCTGTTAATAAACACTGGGCCAAAGAAATGTTTTCCCTGGGAAACCAAATCAGAGAGTTGGTTGTTCTACCAGTAGGTTTGATGGCAAACGTGATAGATGGCAGTGTCAGAGAAAGGCAAGTTGATTGGGTTGTTACTGCCATTTAAAGACCTATGCTTGCTCCTGTGATTCTATTGCTGGTATCTGGCAGCTGTAGCTTTCACTATTGAACTTCTGGTTTCAACATTGGGATGGAATTAGCAGCAGAGAAGGAACATAGCTTACTATCATAATCTGTGCTTTCTCGGGAAAACTTGCCAGCAGCTGACAGCAGACATGCTATACACTGATTAAGATGACAACTGGGAAGAAAAAAATAATTAAATCTTGCTATGGTTTAACTGACCATACCAGTATGGTCCTCTTGAGACATCTACCTTCACCCCCAATTCCACAACCCCCTTATCCTTTTTCATCCATTTGACAAATTGTGCAGGTATAATCCACTGCAATTTCAATCCACTTTAATTTATTAGGGGACTGATTATCAATCTACCTTGTATTATATAATTTAATCTTATGGATATTCTCAATGCTTGTTAGACTTCTACTAAAGAATTTAAGGGAGCAGAAGAAAACAGTATATTGAATGGCTGGTGGTTTGATGGGAGAAGTCTCCAGACAAGAACGTAGAATACAAGATAATGGAGGGGAGATGGAGAGAAATGGTTTATAAGAAGTACAAAACATTTAAAATATTTTAAATGAATGAGGATGCTTGAGATTGTTGCTTTTCTAATACGTCAGTTCCCTCTTCTATCAGTAGAGCACTTGAAAGTCAGGAAATTGTAAAGGGGTGTTGTAAGATTAAGTTAATGCCATCGCCTCTTCACGTGTAAAGGAGTGCTTCCTCTCACTTCATTCTTAAAACTTTCTACTGGAAAGACAACACAAGAGTTACGTGGCTTGCAGAAATCCCTTGGCTTCAAAATCTGGTCTCTCCCTGCCCTTGCTGACACTCTTTTTTCTTATTCCCAGCAAATGGAAGGTTTTAGACCTGTGTGTCCAAATACAGTATGTATATATTCTATAATAGCCATGTGCAGCTTTTTAAATTAAATAAAAATTAAGTTTCTCAGTTCACTAGCCCCATTTCAAGTGCTCAGTAGCCATCTATGGCTGGTGGCGACTGTATTGGGCAGCACAGATAACAGATCATATCCATCACGGAAGAAAGTTCTCTTGGACCACCTAGTATATGCAAGTGTATTTTTTTGTATATAGTAGGAAATTATTACAGTATTACATCATGTTTTCTTTACCAACCTCATTGTAACAATTTGCAATTCATCTAAGAACATTGTATCACTAACCCCAATCCACTTTCAATTTTATTTCTGTTCACAAATATAATATACATTCATTTTCCAAATTTTGAAGGAAAACAAAAACATAGACAATGACTATTCCTGCTTATAAATCCACCTCCCTAAGATAATTACAGTTAACAGGTAAGTTTGGGGCATATTCTTCCAGTTACGTTTTTATACCCTCTGCATTCAGTTATTTCTAGTAACAAAAACAGGCTGTGCCCTCTTTGCTTGTTCCCCTTTGTAACCAGCACCACACATTTTCAGTCTTTGCCTGACAAAGCTAAGGGTGCCAGGCTCAGACCCGCGACCCTGATGATGACATGTCATGAAACTAAATTACCAAAGGTGACTGAGGAACAAAATAACAGTTGACAACTGCATACGTGGAGAAGTGTTTCTTCCTTGTTTAGATTCATTGGTTCATGAATGTTTCCCAGCCTGACTGCCTGATGTTAAATGCCCGTTTTGTGGAGTGCACACATTTGAGGGATGTGGCTTTAAGCTCCTGGCTCAGTTGAAGTGGTTTGTGTGTGATGAATTCGCTCAATGTTCTTTCCTCACTGGAGATGTGAACTGCACTATATTTGGAACATTTGCATATACAGTGCTGCCTGGGTGTTTAGCTACAAATTTTGGTTATTATCACCATTAACTGGATTTAGGAAGTTATATGGTTATGGATTTCACAAAGACTTTGGTGAGGAGAGATGTAGCTGGCTTGGAAAAAAGCAAAGTACCCTTTTCACAGATCGCAATCTGTAGGGACTTCAGATTGCTGCAACAGTTGAAATGAGGCCACGAGTTCCTCCCCCTGGGCCCTGCTTACCTGCTGAACACCTGCTGCGTGAGCCTGAGTGAGGAACTGTGTTACTTCCACTCCTTACTTGCACCATTAATTTGGTGACTAGACCTCACCGCTTCCAACAAATCTATGTGCCATCCATCTGTAAACGACCCAAGTGTGCACTGAACCAGGAAAGACCTGAGATAGGAATAGTCTGAATAGCTTTAAATGTCCCTCGTCTGTGATCCACGCTCAACCACCCCAAATTGGATGCTGGGCAAAGGTTCTCATTGGTATGTGAGCCTCGCAGAGACAACAGAAGGGGTAAGAACCACCAGCCTTTTCTAGTCGGTTGTCAAATAATACAGCAACACTGTGCTCTAGCCTCACAACCTGCACACTTGATGTGGGAGGCTTGCATTGTAGTCACTCACCAAAGGACTTGGTGATTGAATTATTGGAAGAAACTTGTCGGAAAAGCCCCTCAGCACTGGACTTGAGGGCAAGGTTCTGACATATTCGTTCCATGGCTATGGAATCCAGACAGCAGGTAGTGGTTATGACAGCTTTCAGGGCAAAAGGCTATTGTACTAGGCACTGAGGCTACAGTATCAAATTAGGCAGATTTTGGTTTTATAGTCTAACAGGAACAAGAAATACTGAATGAGCAATTTTCAGTGTGATGACTTTGGAATGGGAAGTGCAGAATGGTATAAGAGGATACCTCTAATGAGTCCAATGTGCAGGAAAGGCTCCTATGAAGAAATGACATTAAACTGAGACCTGAAAGATGAGTAGTTGGTAGCCAGACAAAGAGGAGATGGAAAAGTGGTCTAGGCAGAAGAAACAGCATGTGCAATGGGCCTGTGGCTGGAAAGAGCCTGACCTATTTAAGGAACCAAAAGAAATCCAGGATAGCTGGAACATAGGAAGGGCTTGGGAAAGTGGTAAAAAAGGGACCCAGAGAGGTAGGCAAGGCCCAGACCAGGGAGGGACTTAGGCCACGTTAAAGAGTCTAAATGTTAGCTAAAGGACAATGGGAAACCCATCAG